AATTTGTAAGTATCTTCTGGTAGAGCACCAGGAACGAGGAACACAGAAAGCAGAATACAGAATACAGCCCTGTGCAGAGGCATTATGGTCTCAGATACATACATCAGGCAAAAATAGTCATCCTTTTTCCCCAACTTGTTTATGGAATTTTATTACTTTTTTGCATGCTTCAGAAACATTAGCTAGAAACATTACTGAAGGAGTTCCTTGCCTTCAGGCTATGCAACTTCTCACAGTGTTTTAAGGCATTTTTATTGATTTTTTAAGCAAATTTGCTTTGAGCACAGTCTTTCATTTTCTGTTTTCTGAGGACAAGGCTGCAAGCCTGTTTGCAGAAGGCAGATGTCACAGACACATGCTGTGAGTTTTAAACTGGCCCATGAAACGCTGCAGTAGGATGGCTTTTACTATTACCTGTCTGCAACCAAAATAATAGTGAGTTACTTTCTTTCTTACTAATAACAAACTGATGTTAGTCGTTCTTTATCTCAATTTATAAGCTCATTTGTTAGTTTAAAATTATTAGGCTTTTTGAATATTCCATTCCCTCAGTATTTCTGTAAGAAATACTAGTTTTGTGTTAAAACAATGCACTGAGGCAAAAAAAAAGCTGCAGGCAAGCTGTCTTTGGTGCTCTGGTTCTTGGTTTCCTGATTACTGTGTTCTAGGTCTTGAGTATCAGAGCTGGTACGTGCTCACAACACTGACAACTGTAGGGTATTTCTCCTTTTGAAAACTAGAATTTTGGTGCCCAAAGCTGGGTTCCCAAACTGAAACATTGAAAGTCAGAGGTCTTTGTTTCGACTGGGGATGTGCACAGACAGTGAGTGAGTGAGTGAAACGGCATTTAAACTGTGTATTGAGGAATGGCTGAGCAACGTGAAGTTGTTGCTGTGGAGCACATTTATTCTTGATGCTAATTTGGTGAGGGTGCTCTCTTGCCTACTGAGGAATGCACAGGGGCTGCTCATCCTTGGACCACAAGGTTGCTTTGAGCTGTTTCATTTTCAGGTCTGTTTAGGATAACAATTCTGCCGACAGCTGGGTTCTGTAAGAAAGCTCCCATTCAGGTACATAAGGTTAAAATAATTAGATGTGTTCCTCGGGCAGAGATAAACATTGCCCTTCTATTTTTTGAAAGCAGATGAACTTACTAGGCCCACTCTTATACTCTGGGGTTGTCTCCTGCCTGATGTGCTGCCACCGAAGCTCTAAAACCGTCGCACACAAAGGCACCACGGGACTCCCACCATCAACACGAGCTCTCTGCCTGCCTCTGGCGCTGGCTGTCAGAACTGCTTCATCTGAAATCAAGGTAAAGAATCAGCAGCACTAAATACTACAGGACAAAGGCATAAACTAGCTTTGTAACCCTGGGCAACCTGGATGTTTGCTGACTGACAGTGTGAATGACAGCCCAGTTGTCAGTCTGAGATATCGTCCTCTAATCATTCCAGATGTCACCCGACAAGATGATGGCTACTAAAAAGGGAATAATTTGGGAAAAGTCATAAAGCCCATTATCTCCTGCTGAAACCATTTCTCTTTGCCATTTCTGAAGTCTCTGCAAAATAGATCCAGAATCCCTTATGTAACACAACTGGTTTATTGAGAGTGTCCACTCGGAACTGCACTGGGTATCCCATTACATTCCTAGAGAAACCTACCCCTGAGCTATACCACTCCTTCATGTCTTGGCAGGTGACTCCAATCTGGCCACACAGTGTAGCTGAAATATTTTCACCTGTTCCAAAATACAACAGGGAGCAAAAGGCTGCCATAGTAGCTGTTTGCAGACACAGTCTAGCAAATCAGAGAAAGAATGGAATTAATCACAACAGAAACATAGGGCAGTTTCTGGCTAGAATTCTTATTAATATTTTTCTCCTTAACAAAGAAAGAAATGTCTGAAAACATTGTTAAGGCCTTTCCATTCTTGCTTAATTTATTCAATTGCATTTTAATTTCAATATGAAGAGAGGACTTTATTCTGAACTTAAGGCTGAGTGAAGGGCTGCATATAAAAGAAAAATAACAAATAAAAAGAAAAAATCTCTTTTGAGAAGGACAACAAATTATAGCAGAGGAGGTGGAGGAGGAGGAGAACATAGGAAAGGCAGAACATTATGGTGTCTGAATCTTGAGCTTTAAATTTTGAAAACATAATCTGAACCATGGAAGTTAGAATACAGTTTGTCATCCAGATAAAACTAGAAATGAACCCCTAGATTGTTATAGCAGGCTGTTTTAAGGGCATAAACTGAAACTGGAAAACATTCATTAATTACTGTGTCAATTCCTTCTAAGATCTGTCGGAGGAGATTCCAGACTGTGAGCCAGAAAATTCTGTATCTCATTCATATAAAATATCTCAATGAAATACACTGAAAGATTGCTGCCAAACTTTGGTAGAGAGGACAAAAATGTGTTTAGGGCAACTGTTAAAAAATCTGTCTCCTGTAGGCTGCATTGGGCCTGATTCTGCCATTTTCACTCATACTGGCTGATAACTGACCAATCAATTGCAATGAAGGTAGTGGAATAATTTATGTTGTAAGGAGTTAAATTTGCATGAATTTAGGCAAAAGGTTGTAGTCATTTGTCTTAATGAATAATTTCATCTTGCTTGCTATCTACCTGAGCAATTCTAAAATGGTCGGTATGGTAATGTGGAGAATGGAAGAATCCCATCTAAGAAAAGGTAAGTTTTCTGACTGGCAGTTACATTTCTATTGCTGCATCATGAAAATAGATTCTCTTCCTAACTAATTAGTTCCCCTTCCCAAAAGGTGTGGTAGTTTTGAAGTTTAACTTGTCCAAAGAGCAGCTTGAATCTAGCACCAAAGAATTTCCCAACAGTGACTTGAACAGTTTTACATAACAAGTTATGGTAAAAGATCCGAATGAAGCCCTTTCCCATGCCACTTAGACAGTATTGATATCTGCTTGTAATAATATTTTGGCTGTTGAATTGCATCCATGCCTTGCTTCAGCTATGGAAAGTTAGGAAACACAAAGACTTTGTGGGAGCCTGTGAAATGCTGGAAGGTTGATACACCTCCCATGGAGTATGAAATGAAGGTCATGATTTCTCTTTGTCATGGAGCAGCCCAGAACAACATCACAAAAAGTATTTATTTCAGATTTTGTATAAACTGTTCTTAACTCTCTCTTCAAACTTTAAAAAATTTGGTATTGATTCTCAGTAGCTGCAAATCTTAATTGTAGCATGTTTCACTGATATGCATGTATACATAGGTGGGGGGTGTTGTGCTTACATAGTCTTGATTCCTTTTAAATCTTGAGTAGATATATTTTTATACAAATCTACATGTTGTTCATTATTATGATCCCCTTTCTAACTGAAATACAATTTTTTTCTAATATACCTTCTCCCCTGTGTCTCGCTAAGTTTAGCTAACAGACACAACAATGCGCTAGTAACCAGTAACTTTTTTTTTTAAGTTGACATACGTGCTCAGATGGTAGGAATTTAAAATTAGGAGGCTATAAATTCTGCCCTTGCTTTGTAATCAAGTCCTGTCTAATAGCAAAATTGTTGCAGTAATTCCACTGTGACATGCTAAAATTAGGAGCCAGTAGAAATAGAATTGTATGTGTGTGTATATACATATATGCATCTGTGTGCCCATAAGTACTTCGTTTCTGTGGACTATTCTAGTCCACTAGGTAGTGAATCTACCTAGTTCTGTATATTATAGTAAGGGATTTTGATTTTCTACAAAACTGTACATGGATTTCATGTTTATAAACAGGTTTGTCATGTCAACAATAAAAATCCACAAAAAGAGTGAAAAAGTGAATTGCTTCCAATTCATTCTTTAAATATAGCAGACATAACCTCTTGTTTCACAGTATTGGAGGGGCACTTTGTTTTGTTTCAGAAACTTCAATAATTTTATGTGTTATGATGAAGTTTCGCTTGAAGTTTTGCTGTTGGTTAAAAGCCTGAAATGCACAGTAAAATCTCAATTTGTAAAATCATTTAACTGGAACTTAGATCAGTGTTTGAATAGTCCCTCTGAACCTATGCATCTTGTGTAGCTCTGGTCTGGATGGAAAGTTTGAAAGGAAACACCAGGCATATAAGAAGTAATAGTGAACAGCAGATATTAAAAAAAGGTATGTGTGGAACCAAAAGGTTATTTTTAAGCTGTTGGTTATTAAATTTATTACCGGATACTGCTAGCAGCAATTGAAAAAAAAAACAAAACAAAACAAAGCAAACTTCTCTTACCTCTGATATTTCAGCTATCCATTTCATATTATTCTATTCTTTAGGTCATATCATTAATACCACAGCTCCAGTGAAGCTGAAGCAATTCTAGGGCTGACTTGCAATTGTCGTTAATTTTTCTCTTATGAAATTATAAAGGAATTATAAAAAGTGCTGTTGGTTATCTTTCATCTAGTCATGTAATGCCCTTAACTCTGGTTTAATTTCTCATTACTATGTTTTAGTGATATGTTTTGAACCGCACATTGTACATACCACTCGGTTTTCTATGGAAATTTTGTCTGCCTATGCTCAAGACTAACAACTCACTATGTGTCTGGATTCAAAGAAGTGATACTAAAATTTTTTTTTTTTTTTTTAAATCACAACTAACATTTTTACAATTAGAAATGCATTGCAGTGCTTTGGCAGTACACTAAACCTATATGACCTTTGAATCAGCCTTCAGTGACTGAACAATTGCAATTTGCAATTCCTTATGGGGAGTTAAGAACCTCTTCTCTGGTTTAGTCCTTGAGCCAGCACACTGCAATGACTGCTCTTCTAGTGAATATCCTCTTACTCTGATGCCTTAAGGTCCATCTGTTTTTTTTGATTTTTCTAATTTTTACAAGCTTTATAAGTAGTTATATAGCAGAAGTAGATTTAGAAGCAGCACGACTTATTCCCTTACACTTAGCACAGAAACTAAGTGTTTCTTACACATTCCCCAACCCTATTACCCCATTCCATGCTCCCCATATCAATTCTACCCCTTAAATTCCAGTAGAAATATCTCTCTTTAAGATAGGCATCTTCTGTTAAAGGATATCTAATCCTGGCCTGAACTGCAAAAGTACAGTCAAGAAGTGGGTGAATATATGCCCCCTGTACCCCGAAGAAGATGAAGATTGATGAAGAGGTGGTCTTAGAGACCCTATCCCCAGTTCCCAAGGGGTGTGACTGAGGGTGGTCCAAGGCAAAAGCCAGCAGGTGGACAAAACATGGGATTGGACAGACAATATTATAAATTGTAACATCTGTACAGAGGGGCACGTGCGTGTCTTGTATTCTTATGCCTAGGCACAAAATTAAAACCCCTTTCCTTGTCTCACCTTCAAAACTAAATTGCCTCAGAGTATTTTTCTCCCTGAATTTTCTTTCAGGTATCACTCTTTACTCTCATTGATAGTCATCTCTGTTTTGTCTCATACTATCCTTTGAGAGGGCCATGAGGGAGCTGTGAAACATCCTGGCTTAGAGCAGTCTCCACTGAAGGAAGTCCAAGCATGCTGGCAGCCAGTGATTGGAGAAGTACAGCCAAGCACAGGAATCTTTATGTACAAGCCTGGTTCCTCTCCTCTTCCTCCCGCCTCTGCCACTGGCTGCTGCTGGAAGTAGGACTCTGCCTGAGAGACCTTTGCTCTTATCCAGTTGTTCTTATGCTAAAACTTTTATGTCGTGCTTTGATTTTTCTTCTGTTTTTGCAGATAGTCAGATTTCTGAAGGATAAAAGGACGAGAAGAAAGTTCCCAATTTTTTTCACACTTCTGTACTTCTCAGTTTAGTCTGTTCACTGCCTAGAAGGAGGAAAGAAAATGAAAAGGAGAACAAATGTCATGGCATTCCTGCCTTCCTGAGGCTGGTAATTCAGCCAGTTGCAGTCTCAGCCTCTTATAGCTTAGTTTTCCCAATAGTTTTAGGAACATTCCCTGCAACCTTGGTTCTCAGATGTCAGAACTAATAGAGAACTATGGGAAATAAGTCAGTACCTAGCAATCTCTCATAATTTTTCCAAAAATCTTTGAAATTTTTTGTGAATTACCCATAAAAGACAGTTTTTCTAGAACAAGTTTATTTATTATCTATCAAAATACTTCTGTTTATCCTTCATTTTCTTAATTTTTGCTTACTTGCTTAAGCACCGTGCTTTCCTGTGAAGTTTGGATAGGAATATTCTTGAATGTTTTGCTAGTGTAAGTTCCAAGATTGGACCCATTGCTACAACGTATGGGTTCTTTTGAAAAATGTGAGATTTTAACTGGTTTTTACTTTTCAGCAGAGGAGTCCAACACAGTAATCCACAAATTAAGAATGATTGAATGCTTTATTTGGTAGTTCCTCTTGGACATGTATTGTATTTAAAGGTTTAAGTATACCTTGATGAAAGTCTTTGCCTTTAGCTGTTCATTGCTATTTTATCTATTTCTTCAGCTGTGAAAAGCTTTTTTATTTGGTTGAGGTTTGTTTATTTCTCACTGGTAAACTTTTCTAGTATTTTAAAATTCTGCATTACAAACAGGTTTGAATTTTGGCTTCTCTTTGGAGTATTTTACAAGGACAGAGATTTTACACACTAAATTGCTTTCCATAAAACACAGCTGTAAAAAAAAAGTGAAGTCACTCTGTCTATACTTTGTCCTCTTGAAACTTATTCTCTTTAAAAAGGGTCTGTGTAATTTTCCATAATTATTTTGGCAAGAATGTTTATTGCCCAGCTGGGTGAAATTATTAATGTACCTCTCAAGCTGCATTTTCAAAGATCAGTAATACATATATAAACCTCTTTGAGGGTCCTTGATATGTAGGACTTTTATTGGAGACCCTTGTTTCACTTCAGTAAAAGGATGACACAAGATGTTTACTTTAAAAAGTCTTTGACATCCTCCTGAGAATGTTTTGATAGAATGGCATACATTTGGTTACAATTAGTAAGCCAAACAATTTTCCATTGTTATCTCACTGTGTTTGTCTAGAGCCTGTAAGGAGCTTTCAGAAAATATCCATCTCCATGTTTTAGTTAATTGATTGCATGTTCAGTAGGATTATTCATTTTTATAAAGCTCCTTGTCCTTTTAATTTTATCACAGGGATTTTATACAAAGGCATGTGGTAGAAAGCAAAAGGGAAATACTGGCACGGTTAAGCATAAAGAGATATTGTAGTTGTATCAAGGCTAATATTCCTGCGTGTGGGAAAAAATACCAATGTGTTCCTGCTGCTTCTGGGTGCAAGATGTTATACCTGGGGGCTGAAAGTAATAGTTGTTGGTGTGAAAGTATTCACCAATATCAAGTGCAGATGAATGCTTTTGGACCCAACTGAAAGCTGAGTTAGTAATACTTTAGCTTAATATTTGAACTTGTACTTTTAGTATAATAAATGATGGGTGACTTAATTTTATTTAAACTTTATTAGCAGTGTGATTAAAGGACTCAAATCCTTATCTGACACCTTTGCTATGTTGCGATTTCTTTGGTTATTTGCCATTTTATTTATAAACTAGAATCTCATCTTTTCTTTTGTATGTTAGCTGAAATACATCTTTCTGTTGAACATCTTCTTTTCTAAATAGAGATTGGCAAGTCTCAGCTAAGATCATTGTCTGTCTTTTTTAGGTAGTAAACTTATCTTGGTATGTACATCCCATCTTGCTTACAGCTCTTTGGTGGTTACATGGTTAAGCTGAATATAATGTGAATTAGTGTCTATGTCACAGAAATTCCCCGTGCAATTATCACCCCTTGGAACTGCTGCAGTGCCAGGTTTAGGCCTGTTAGCAGAAACTGGTGCTTCTCTACCTCCTTTTATCATCCTCTTTTGTTTACACTCTTTTTGGAGAAATCACTGATCACAACTCCTGTAATGGTAGGTACACGCTGGCAGCAGAGAAATGCAGAGCTTATAGTGCTATTCTGCTTGATAAACCTGTGTCCTTGAAGTCTCATGCATCTCTACCCTGTCAGACTGGTAAAACCATGCTGCTTTTATGAATTCCTGGTGGGAGTGGTCAATACTGAGTTGAATAACTCCCTTTTGAATTATGTCTTTAACAAAACAATTCTTGGAAAGCCTGCTCGATTTTGGATGGGTGCACAGGAAGAAAAGGGATGGCACTTGAAGTGCTTTCTGCAGTTGCTACCTCTGCTCCCCCACCAGGGTGGGAAATGACAGAGTTGCACAGGGCTGTCCTCTGATGCTGTCCTGTCCTACACTGCCTCCAATCAGCACTGCAAGAGGAAGTCACTGTTGTGGGTCTCTGCACGACTGGCACACAAATTGCACCTTGGCCAACTGTGCACCAACACTTCTGTGCAATGAAATCACACTGCCTGGTGTCTCCAAAGTTGAAACCAGGAGTTTGGGCCCCTCAGTGCATGCCAACATCAAATTCAGGCCTTTTAATCTCCTTTTCATCAGAGCTAAGTTATGTCTGTTCATGTTCTCTAGAGCAGTTTGAATTCAAGTTAGCTGGTGATTAAGGTACTTTGAGTGAATTGGATGCTGGTAGGAGTGTTTGTTCAAAGGGTTAACTTAACCTTCCCCAAGGTTGTAACGGACACTGGAAGATCAAAAGCTCCTCCAGACTGTCAAAGAGAGGAGAAAAAAAGAATTGCCTGCTTTTACAGTTTTCAGTCAATGTCTTCCTTCTGGAAAGAAAGTCTGTGTTTAACATACTTAAACTTATGGTACGAACGACTCATTTTGTTTCTAATTGTAAACATAATTTGTTTGGTCTTTCAGTTCTTTGGATTTATGCAGTAGCCATGTTTGTCAAAGTATTTGGCACCAGTGACATCATTTCTGTTGAAATGCCGGACAGTGTGATGAGTCCCAGATGTTAACGCACACCAAAAGTCGAGAACGAATAAAATATAAAGATCAACTGTAACAGCTATGGAGGTAATAAAAAGTACTTCTGTTTTCTTCTAATACTCAAAGATAATTATTTATATTTGTTTGAGGTTTGTTTTGCATAAATGATCAATTAGGGACTGTGCTCAATACTCTGCATGTACAATATAAGGGCAGACTGAGATGTGAATTTGGATGAACACTGAATAAAGCATGATTTAACTTCATGATTGCACTATTTCCTTTGTTTTTTTCCAATCTTTTACACTTTGCATGTGTAGATTATGATATATGCAAAGTATGTGTACTGAGACCTAAATGTGCCTCTTTCTGAACTGCCAGAATGTAACGTGTCATTCGGATAATGGTCATGCATGGTTATGTCAGCACATCATGTTTTCTAATGTACTGTAACATGACATGCCAATGTAACCAAGAGTAGCACCATTTCCTAATGACATGTCATGTCTGTGAAATGTAAAAAGGATATGACTTACTGCGAATAGGGTTTGATTTTTTTTTAATTTTAAAATAAAAATCTCTCTGTGCAGTTTATTCAGCTCCAAAAGTAGCTTTTGTAAAAGTATGGTTTAGGTGCGTAAGGGGAAAAATCATAAAGGTACCCAGGCATGGTTCCAGATTAACCACATTTCTACCCAAGTGTTTCATGCTTCCCACGTTTGGTGTAGGAAACACTAACAAATAATACATCCAACCATGCAGAGCACTCTCAGATGGATAAGACTTACCTGACTGATATTGTCATTGAAAATCAAGCAGAGGTGTTCCCTTAATTTTCTTCCAACAATGAACACTTTCTTTAGATCATTCTGTTGTCTAAATAGTGTTCACTGTCATGAAAAATTTTGATATACACAGTTAAAAATTGACTTGGAAAATGTCTACTTATTTGTCAAATATGTTTCCTTAATTTATTGCACCAGTTCTCCAGGCTTTATAGGCATAAGACAAATTGTATTAAAGCCACAGAGAGAAAAAAGAAATTTAGACTTTTCATATTGGAGTATTGAGTCCTATAAAAATGAATAATCAGTTTGATGTATAACTCATATGTTGCTGTCTTCTCTTAAAAGACTTCACATCAGAAAAGAAATATAGAAATATATCAAAACATAAGCTTGTTTCAGTTCTCAGTAGATTATTCTTAATCTCTTTATTTGGACTGAAAGTTTTCTCTTTAGTCTTAATACAAGTTTTCTGAAACCTGAAAGCAGAGGCAGTAGTGATGGCATTGTTGTGGTGCAATTTTCACTGTGCTGCTTGGTTTTGAGCCATATGACACTGATATTGCTGAGTATGAGGGAATTATTCTGAAATTATTTGGATTTTTCTTAACTTTTCTTTCAGGCTGCGTGGTATTTTGGGAATAAACATTGAAAAACAGATCAACTTATATTATTCTTTCTGTTTACAGGACTGTACTCAATTTACATTCTGATGTTGATACACAAAGGCTATAGGATTTTGTCAAGGGCTTCTAAAGCTGTTAAGACTTCCAGGTGAGTCTTTCAGATACCCTTACTAAACCCAGCATATCTACAGGATTTTGTTAGATCTCATTTTCGAAATCACTTATGTTATTTAGGGGTCCAATTCACTGTTCTGAAAGCAACTTGGATGCTTAATACATTAGATCTCCCTGACCTTCAAAGGGACATCTAAGCATTTATGGTCAGATACTGAACATAAGAGAAGCTTGGTAGGACTCTTTTTATAGTGTTTCATCACCTCAATCCCTTTGAAATCACTTTAAACACTTTCCTTCAATTTAAAAAATGGGGTATGAATTTCTAAATCATACGTGTACTTATGAAAATATTACCTGTAATTTATTTAAACCTTGTGAATACCCCAGGAAAAAGATGTGTTGTGGATGAAATGCGTTAGTATAAAATGTGTTCTATGAATTTTGGGACAAATCCTGGTTTTTGTCACTAATGTGTCATTTTAGTCATTACTTGCTGAGATGTATCATTAGAAATCTCAGTCACATAGGCCATGCTTAAATTACATATCAGATGACCCAAATGTTTAAGGCAAGACGGTGTAATTCAGCATCACTTTAAGCAATTTATGCCACTGAAGATCAACACCCTCAAAGTCCTGCATCTTCCTGAGTGGAATTATTTCACCTTCTCAAGTCTTTTCTTACATCTTCTCATTTTAGTCAGGACCCCCTACCTTCCCATCCCCATCTTATCTGACTGGCTTGGGGTACTGATGCAATTACTGTCTCCATATACTCTCTACAATTAGTCTTAAAAAACATAAAAATTTCACCTGAAACACAAATGTACCTGTTTTAGATAGTTTGTGAAAATAGTGAAGGAGTAAATCTCAAGGGGGTAAAGAAACAGAGAGAGCTTTGCTGAAGGGTGAGCAAAATGTACCTGTTAGTTACATAAAGTTATGATAATACAATATCCTGTTGTGTAATAAGATATGACACAATGTAATATTTTTTGTATGCTTTAGTGTCAGTTTTACTTGCTGAAAATTTAATAGGTTTGCAAACAGAATAGTTAGATTTGCCATTTGCCAGTTTTTCTTTTCTTTTTTTTTTTTTTTAATACTTCCATCTATTTTCCAGCAGTCATTCCCTTTCCTTTCCATTATGGTCAGAAAACTGTGCTATGACATGCTGAAAAATGTTTACTAACGTTATTAAAGGTCACATTCAGAGCTATTGATTACAGACGCAGCGACTTCTTGCCAGGCCAATGTGTTTATGCCAAACTGTGTCATCAGGCTCTCTGCTAACATAGCTTTAGTGCAGTGGCTTTTCATTGTTTCTGTTTAAAATCCATGGCACTACATTTTCCAGAAACCCTGTATGTGATGTTGGGCTCACACTTTGCAGCTGTCTCTGTAGTTATTAGAAAGGTGAAAAAGCAATGACTTAACACTCTGTACCACCCAAGTCTGATTTTTTTTTTTTTGTCTAAGGTCACCTTATATTTGTAGATCTTGGAAAAAGATCATGAATATTTATGATGGCATCAAAAAATCAAGCAGCTGCAAATTGTTTACAACATTTTTAAGAATATGAAACCAGCTTCTACTATAAATCAAATACATCTGTTAGAACTGGATGAAAATTGAAAGCTCTTCGGTTCCATCCTATCCTCTGAGCGTTGAAAAATCATTGGTAGCATGATTCCAAAACACTAATGCGGGCTGTATAGACAAAAGGTAGAACCCGAAGTAACGTATCAAATTAATCATTCTAAAGATAGCACGTGAAATTAGTTTAATGAAATATTAATTTGAAATAGATGCCATAAAACTTTGTGGAAACTTCCAAAATGTAGAATCATAGTCTGCCTAAAATTTTGTCTCATTATGCTTTTTTCCTGCTTTAAGAAAAATTCTTCCGTAACACAGCACCTCAGATCTGCATATTTGAAGTGCACATTAAAAATGTGCACAACATTTTCTTCAAATATTTGTTGAATTTTTCCTCTGCAGAACCATGATTTACAATCTGCTGCAAATTTAATAGCTAGCTGGAGAAATAGGCAGAAGTAATCAATTTTAAATCTTGGCACTGCTGGTAAATTGGTATTTAGATGGCATTTATTGTATGAAAACATCAAAACATTTGGTTTTGTTCAAACCAGAGGAATAATGTGTGTGCTTTAGATGAGCTGCACTACTTGCCTAAAAATTATCTTAAATGAGAGGGAAAACTGTTCATCCCTTAGGACTATGATTTTCAAACTTTTCCTTGCCAAGTACTGCCATCAGCAGCAGTGGTGACAGCAGCCTCAGCCTGCAGCTCCACACGGGCTCACATCAGGGTGCAGACTCTTGTGTGTCTCTTGTGATATGTGGGTTGCAACTTGGGAGTGTCTGTATTAGAGCTCTTAATTCATTAAAATACAACTGTACTAATAAATAAACTCTCTGATTTAGAGAGACTTCAATTGCATTTTACCTCTCCTTGAGAGGTTTCATATTTTCCGTATTTGGGGTCTCCATTTCTTCCTACCACTTAAATGGTATTTGTACTGTCCCTCAGTTTTTCACTGAAGTACTTTTGACTCGGAAAGTGTGTGGGATTTTAGGTTCTTCCCATTTCACGTTTAAAGGATAATTCAAAGACCTGTATGGTCAGAGGTACCCCTACACTTTGCAAGAAGATTTTTTTCAACTGCCATATAGTTCCCTCCATTCGACACTGAAAAATAAACTCCCTTTCTTTTCCTGCTGCCTAGTGTTACAGATTGTCACAGACTATCCATCCCTGAGCAGCATTGCATTACAATTCAAGTAAACCTCCTTCAACCAGCATGCAAGACTTCATCAGAAGGCAAAACGCTAGTCTGAGAGGATAATAACTGAGACATTCTTTTAATAAGGACCATTTTTAAATGTTAAGAATGACTTGTTTTAATTGCAGGAGAGGAAAGGAACTCCTACCAAGAGTCAAAGAGATCCCCCAGTGCTCTCTGAAGTCTTCAAATTGTCTTGTATAGAAATGCCTGAGAATCAGAAATTAAAAAAAGTTATAAAAAATTTCCAGCCATTTTACTGTAAAGTTCATCTGAGGAGTTTATTCTCTTCTGAAGTTAAAAATTTGGCTTTAGTTTAAAATAGGATACTTGACTACCCTATTTACTGAAGGCAAATCACAAGACTCATTTTATAGACCCACCTTTTGCTGAGTTTGTGTAAGCAGGGATGCAGAACAATTATGATTAAAACCATTCTTTTCAATCTACTATACAATATCCACCTGTTCTGTCAGACAGCAGGAATGTATGCCACAAATACAGACTACTGTGGTGACAGCAGCAGGTGTATGGCAGCAACAACTAATCAAATCAGCTGAATCGGAGGTGTGAGTCACATTGCACTTCTGTGCAATGAAAACGACCCGAAAGGAGAGAGCTAAATGATGGTGAATTTTTGTTTTGTTTCATTTTTAAGAACTGTCTTTAAATTATAGGCGGTGCAACTGCAACAGTACAAGAAAAAAATAATGAAGAATCGAAAGGAAAATGACACTTCGTTGCTGCAAAGGACAGGCAGAGTGAGATAGGTATAAGAGACAACCATTGTAATCACTCTGAAAAAGCAAGGCATGGGTTTTGATTTTCCTAAAGAAGCAAATGCAAAAGAACTCTTGTCTGTACCATATGACTCATGATGCTTCTTTACTAGGCTTAAAGAGAATTGAACTTGAGTAATAGCACCATTAGAGCTCTTTACCAGGAGCTAGTTCCTGTGGTTTCACTGGGTCCAGCTGCTGATGACTCACAGAGGAAGTGGCAGAGATTAGGTGCACAGGGAAAAAATCAGAACAGCTCAGAAATAAAGCAAATCAACCAAGCATTACCTTTTGTGCACAACAGAACAATGGCTTAACAACTAAGGTTCAAAATGATCCGTCTTATTCCCCTCATTTATGCTATTCCTGTTGGAAAGACCACCAGGAAACATGTGAACCACTGTGGAATATACACTGTAATCCATGGAACATCTCAATTAATATTCCCTCTTGACTACAGCTAGAACAATACATAGCATCAAGCAGTTTAATCTCCGGCAATAATGCCTTTTGTAAGATCAAGAGGTCTTTCCCTTGAATTAAGGTTTAAGTGAGGATTTTGAAAATTAGTTAGGTATTCTGCATAACGTCTAGTGGTGGCTACAGGTTCCATAAGTAACAGCTAGGTAAAATGGCTAGACACAGACTGGTTTTCATTAGAAATGTTGTTATTAGTAATTTCTCCTTTGTAAATTCGCATTGGGTTCCCTGTAGAAGAGAGTTAATTCCTCCAGCAGGCTTTGTTATGAACAGATATATCCAAGCTCGTATAAAATTTAAATGTTGCCTCTAGTAGTCAGTTTTGTGCTACAAAACTATGTCCCCAGCAGCAAAAAGTTAAAATACGTAACTTAAAAGGGAGAATACGGGAGGAAAAATTCTGGATCTTGTTTAAATTACTAATGTACAGTAGTAGTCCTGCTCTTGGATCACATCACTACAGTCTTGGACACATAGCTCAGGGGATGTTTTCCTTCTTGAAAACTGCAAACAGTTAAGGCTCTAAATTTCTTGGGGAGGAGTTCCATCTGAGTTGATATAGATTGATAATGTATCTTATTACAGAATGATAAGACTACTTTGACGAGATTGTACCACTTCTTTAAAAAAAAAATATTTGAAAAGTATGATTAAGTACTAAAAGCACCCTAGCAAAAAAATATTGCAGATTTTGCTAGGTCAGCAATTTATCCTTGTTTTTAAAAATAAATTGGAACAGATAATTTCACTTACATTCCACTTTCTATTTTGCATAAGAATTTCAGAGGTAAGATCAGTTAGTTATTATACAGAGATACATTTTATAAACATTTGCTTTAGTGATTAATGTAAAACAATTCACAGCCATCTCTTTAGAATATTAAGTAACGCACTGTACTTTATGTGTTTACCATGAGCTGGTGTTTCAAACCCCACAAGGTGACTGTGTGACACTGGTACATGGCCTCTGCCACACAGTTTTGAAGAGGCCCATACTACCCTCAGTTTCAGTTGCGCTCCAGCTTACGCAATAAGCACTTGAAAAAATATTGCCAGTAAGAAAGATGCTTCTGCTGGTGTTTTCTTGTATGGAAAACTAAGCACGAATTCACTTCTTGGCCTCAGTTCTCCCGATGCAGGGCTGCATTATCTGCAGTAAGCAATAAAGGCTGCATTTAAGATATCAAAGACTGTGCTGTGCATTTGTGATGGCCGGCGAGGCGCCGCCGTCTGCAGCGCTGAGGGTGGCCGGGGGTGTGTAGGGTGCTGCCATGGCTGTCCTGGGCACTGACCTGGGACACCGTGGGATTTGGGGAGAGCTGCACCAGCTGTCCTGAAAGGCATGAAATTCTTCTTCCCTGCATGCAGCCACATGGCCTTCACGCACTCAGAAGTACATGGATGGATCAGGTCAGTTAATTTACTGTTCTCTTTTAAAAGTCAGTTATTTTATGTTTAAATTTTTTCAGTCATCTCATTCACATTGACTCTTTGGCATGTATGTGAAGATGAAAGGGATGAAACTTTACTCCTATCAATGCCATAAATATAGATTATGGGAGGGGGGAAAAAAGTTAAATGGAGTTAATATGCATTAGAAATTGTTTATTTGATACTATTATACTATCCCTTTAAGATATGCTAATATGAACTGGCTGTCAATACAACATCACTTACTTGGTTTTCATCTGGACCTTAGAGCACAACAAAATTATTAGTACATAAATCTCTACTAATTTACTCTAGATTATGATTCTTTCATCAACATGCACATATAAATTATATCATTAATCATAATGATTTCTTTCAGTATTCATACATAGTTTCTTGGGAATCCCACTGTAATTCAGCATGAATTAATGTCCACTTATTGGAAAACACTACCTACATTGATATTTCTAGGGAAAAAAACCAACAACTGTGATGCATCTTAAACTACAGCCTAATTGACCGGGGTGCTGGTAAACAACCACCAAAGGAGCGTCACTGCAGGTAAAGGAAAGTTGTCTTAAAGGCAGTTTGTTCCAAAGCTCATTAGGCCAGATGGCAGCCTGTCTTCTAGGAGCACGTAAAGCACTTATGAGGGAACGGGGAACTTCTCTCTCCTTCACCCTGCCCTGGGGGAGAATAGTGTGAATACGCAGAGTGAGGGGAGAGCTGAAGCAGGAGGGCATCACTAGATGCTGGAGAAGGCAGTGCAAAACCATCTGCTGCACTTTTTTGACAGGGCTGCATCAGTCTTAAGGGGTAACACTTTCTAATTGGCCTCAACAATAAATTGCACTGAGAGAAGCAGCAGTATCTATCCACTTTTCTGCAGAGTGTTTTTTAGCCATGAATTATATGCTTGGAAGTGGCTGGCCCATAGATTGAGCAGGTTGAGGATCTATGGGTGGAGTGCCTTGGCCTCAGTTTCCCCCTCCTAAGAAATGCAGCTGCCTCCTTGAGAAGTGCTGTGCCCTTTCTGGAGGTGAAGTAGGATATTACTTAATCTAGCTATCAAATATATAAATGGAACATACATATATACATATGCATGCTTCATAAGTGAGACAGTGAGGGGGAAAAAAAGGAACTTCTGACTACAACGAAAGATTCATTAGGAAAAATGAACTAATCAGTGCTCTCCAAGGAGAAATTCATTCTGTTTAGGAGGCCGTACCCTCTGCTGCTGCACGTACTTTATATAATTTATATTATTATTTAAATCACTGCGTAAATTTTAGATACTTTTAAAAATCAAGTTAATGGACCATACTTTACTGCTTAGCATCATTTATATCAAGAATTAGTGGCTGTGGAGATAATATACGTTAACACAGAGGAGAAAACACAAACAAGCAAATATCATAAAACTCATCTGTAGCACGAGCTTAAAATACAACTGCAGAAATGAGCCCTTGGAAGTTGTGTATTTTGTGGTACAGCCTTTCCTTTAAGTTGTGTGCACCCTTTCATGTAAGTACAAGGTATTCTTGAAATTGCCTACCACCACACAGGGGGCCCAGCCTTGCACCAACCTGTTATGGCAGAATATTTATTGTTCTGGGAAATATCTCCCTCTCCTCACTTCGGATACAAAGGAAGACATGAATACAGCATGGCTTTCCCATAGCCATAAGAGGAAGTGACAATTTAAGGAATTCTTGGAGGGAACACAGGCACCTATAAAAACTGCTTAGGAGCTGAAGAAAGAGTATGAGACACTTTAAACAGACACAGCCTAGAAACAAAGAAAGAAGGAAATAAAGATAATAGGAAACTGAAAGAGTAAGAGGATTCTGGCAGCTGAAACAAATCCAGGGCCTTCTGCCCCGGGCTCTTTAAAAGGCAGAATATATTCCCTGAAAATATTTTACCTGTACCAGGCAATAAAACAGCTGTGCATCATTGCTTGCTTCAGGATAGCTGTGCTTTATTTCATTCCTCTTTTTTTTTTTTTTTTTTTTTAACAAGAAACCCAGTTGCTTAAGCTTTGACACAAAGTCTTTGAGAGCCCTGGATTCCTCTCAATGTCATCCTGAAGCTCATGTCACCGAAGGGATCGATCAAGCTGCCATGGGAGAGTGTTACAGAGATGGAATGGCCAAGGGGGTGCAGCAGGCACAGGAGAGGAGAGAGACAGACCCTGGGAGGTTGGCAGCACCTGTGGCAGCAAGTCCAATGGTACACAGGTAGTGCAAAGGGATGGTGTTAGCACTTCTTGTTTCATACAATCATAAAATAGTCTGGGTTAGAAAATATCTTAGAGATCATCTAGTTCCAAACCCTCTGCCATGGACAGGGGCACTGTCCACTTCTCCAACTTATTTTATGTTGTTCTTGAAAATCAGGAGTTTAGGTAAACAGTGAGTGATATACTTCTTGGAGTAGAAAAAAAACCTAACCCACAGCTGTGTCCAGGAGGTGTGAGAGGGAATATGGAAGGCAATGAGCTAATCAGGGACAGTA